TTCAGTCACACGATTTATCTTCTCCCCGAGGACACACAGATCAGGATTATTTGCAACTATTCGATTTATCTGTCGCTTTGATCCCAATACTATGTATTTTAATTATGCTGGATTGAGTACAAGAGTGTTGGCTTCTGACCACTGGGCGATTTTCGTTAGATCTTTATTTAAGTTATTAACAGCCCAGTTGGTTTGACTTGGTACAAAGGAAAGATATACCTGCAAATCGTCTGCATACATATGATATTTACAGTTCTGAATGGCTGTACTAATATCTGCTATATACAGTATGATTAAAAGAGGGCCTAGTATGGATCCTTGTGGAACTCCTCTCGTTACAGGACAAGGACTTGATAGAGTATGTGTACCATCTTTTTTAATTATTTTAACCAACTGCATGCGATCATTTAGATAACTGGAGAACCACTTGATTACGGTTGGATCGAATCCATAATAGGAAAGCTTGGACAATAATAATTCGATGTTACGAGACTCGAAAGCTCGTGAGAAATCAAGTAGTGTCATGATTGTTCCTTCACCTATATCTTGAGATGCTAAAATATTGTCCACTACGTCTAATAGTGCTGTTGTCGTGCTGTGATGCTTTCTAAAACCAGACTGCAGTTTTGGTAGTATGTGATTACTCTCCAAGTACGCTTCAAGCTGTGTACATACTACTCTTTCCAGTATTTTCGACAAGCAGGGTAGGATGCTGATAGGGCGCAGGTCTTTGAAATTTATAATGCTATTGGTTTTTGGAATTGGTGTAACCAAAGCGGTTTTCCAGACGTCAGGGAAATAAGACGTGGTTATCGATCTGTTAACTATCGCGGTGATTACTTTTAGCGTGTAAGGAAGTGTTAAAACAACCATATCCAGGCATATGCCGTCAGCGCCCAAAGCGTTTGACTTAAGTGAATTAATTATTTTGGCTATTGTGTTTTCGTCTGTAACACTTAACTTAAATGTTAAAGAGCAAAATCGATGGGAGCCAAAGAAAACATGTTCTGAATCGGGTGCTGAATCATTTCCAGGTATATTACAAAAGTGAGAATTAATCAAATCCGGATCGTTGAGTTGGTCAGGAATTACATAGTCTCTAGATTTTTCTGATATGTTTATTGTCCGTTTAAGATTGATCCAAAGAGCTTAAGAATTAGTTAAGGTCGCTCCTGTAAAATAGCATCATGCTATAAGCAGGAGTGCTACCGGGCCTGGGCTGACGCATCAGCGTCCCGGGATGTAAATACCAGCGCTCTAAAAAAAGAAGTATAATTCCGCCTCTAGGTCCTTCAAAAGAGTCATTGCCAAGGCAAAGTCACAGCACATAGGCAGAATTGGCGAGAAACTAGTTCGCCTTCCTTCTGGAACCCGTGCATTCTGGTCTTTCGCCAAGGCTGTCCAGGGGAATTTCTGTCAGCCATCTCTTCCATCTCTGCACAGGGAGGACGACTCACTGGCCCATACCGCAAAGGAGAAAGCCGATCTTCTAGGCTCTTTCTTTGCGTCTAACTCGGCTCTCGATGACGGGGGGAGTACGCCGCCGACCATCCCGTGGTGTGAGTGCTCCATGCCGGAAGTGCAGTTCACACAGCGCTCGGTTCGCAAAGCACTTCTCTCCCTGGACATCCACAAGTCGAGTGGGCCTGACGGAATCCCCCCAATTGTGCTGAGGACGTGTGCTCCAGAATTGGCACCGGTTTTAACGCGTCTTTTCCGGTACTCCTACTCCCTAGGCGTAGTCCCAAAACCGCTTAGACCCGTCCAACTACCGGCCTATCGCCATCACCTCCTTGTTCTCCAAAACAATGAAGTCCATTGTAAACTGCCAGCTCATGAGGTACCTTGAGAATCACCAGCTGATTAGTGACCGCCAATACGGTTTTCGCCGTGGTCGATCAGCTGGTGATCTTCTGGTCTACCTAACTCACAGATGGGCGGAGGCAGTAGAGTCCAAGGGGGAGGCATTGGCCGTTAGTTTGGACATTGCGAAGGCCTTCGATCGGGTTTGGCACAAAGCGCTTTTTTCGAAGCTCCCTTCCTATGGGCTTCCCGAGAAATTGTGCGATTGGATCACCAGCTTTCTTGCAGATCGGAGCATCAAGGTCGTTGTTGACGGTGCAAGCTCCGATCGCAAGCCTATTAATGCTGGTGTTCCACAGGGCTGCGTGCTATCGCCAACGCTGTTTCTTCTGCATATCAATGATATGTTGCAAACCCGTAACATTCATTGCTATGCAGATGACAGCACTGGTGATGCTCTTTACACCGGTCGAGCAAATATTTCTCGGGAAAACGTCTCCGACTGCCGGAACAAACTTGTGTCTGAAGTCGTCTTTGCTGAACAGTCTCGGATTGGGGGCGACTAAATCTAGTCCAGTTTAACCCCCAGAAGACACAAGTTTGCGCGTTAACCGCTAAAAAGAACCCCTTTGTCGTATCCCCTCAGTTTCAAGGCACTCCCCTTGTTGCCTCAGCCAGTATCTGAATCCTCGGCGTCGACATATCGAGTGACGTGCAGTTTCGTGGTCACTTGGAAGGGAAGGCCAAATTGGCCTCTAAAAAGCTTGGCGTGCTCAGCAGAGCGGGACAGTATTTCATGCCGGCACACAGCCTGCAACTTTACAAGGCGCAGGTTCGGCCGCACATGGAATACTGTTCCCATCTCTGGGCTGGGGCTCCCCAATACCAGCTCCTTCCACTTGACCGCATCCAGCGCAGAGCGGCTCGAATCGTCGACGACCGAGAGCTTTCCGATCGGCTCGATTCACTGGCATTGCGAAGAGATGTTGCATCCCTTTGCATTTTCTTTCGCATATACCGTGGAGAGTGCTCTGAGGAATTGTTCGGATTAATCCCAGCCGCCAAATTTCGTGAACGCACTACGCGGCAAACGTGCCGATACCATCCACACCATCGGGATGCTTGGCGGTCCACCACTGTACGTTTCCAAAGGAGTTTTCTTCCGCGTACAACCTCTCTGTGGAATAGTTTACCACCGGCGATTTTTCCGGACCGATACGACCTGGGGACCTTCAAGAAAAGAGCTTACTCCTTTCTAAAGGGCCGGCAACGCACCTGCAATTCCCCTGGTGTTGCGGTTGATCATGGGCGGCGGTAATCACTTAACATCAGGTGAGCCGCATGCTCGTTTGCCCCCTCTTCTATTAAAAAAAAAAGACGTCTATTGACTACTAGAAACTATGACGTCATTTACTGGTATCTACATAAAATTTCTATTTAATTGTCATAAGTGCTAACTACTTACCACTTTGCTGCGAAGAAACAAAACTTCAATTTAAGGCAAACCACAATATAAACAAACCATTGGTCAACCCATCTATATCAAAGTACTTTGATTACAAAAGACTTAAATAAATCCTGATAAATGTGCTTTCTAAAACCCAAAATGGCACTTTGGTGATAAGAGATTTGCACTTTGATGAATAAGCATCTATGTCCAAACCATTTTACTTGCAATGGAGCTCTTCCTTCTTCTAGTTGAATGCTTGGGTGTTTGATTTATCTTCTCTTCTGCTTCATTTTCCTTTGCCACTTCCGTTCTTGTTGACCTTTTTCTGTCTTCTAAATTTTCATTAAGGACATGTTAACCAGTGGTGTATTCATGCTCTTCGTCTGCTGCTTGTTAAAGCTGGACTTACATCTTCAAACGCATTCTGCCTTACCAGCTTTGACTTTAAGGCAGAATGCATTTGAAGATAGAAGTCCAGTTTTGTTGTGTTCACTATTCTCGAAGAAGGTCTGTAATGAATGAATATCACACGTTGAAAATCTTGTCTTTATTTTTATAACAACTATTAACAATAAAAAGATGTAACTGCTCGCCGTAATGCTCCTAAGATGATTAACTGCTACGTATAAGAAGATGATCGTTGACATCTATCCAAATTATACATAATTTGAAAAAAAAATTGCATTGATTATTAGTATCAATACTTAGCGACAAAATAACTGAAATACAATAAAAAAAAATGATAAATTAATTTTAATTCAAAAACACATACCTGATTACTATCAATAAAAAATACTTACCTTTAACATATAAAGTTTTCCTCTGGTTCAATTGGCCCTCTAAATCTGGAGTTTTTCATATAGAGATATGGTTTTAGATTTTGTATATGTATCTATTCTTGAAATTTCTTGTATGCAAGTCTAATGTTAGTCTTAAATGCAAATATCTGAAAAATCGTTTATCATCATCTAATAAGAATTTAAATAAAGTATAATATTCTCGATACAACTGCCCTTTTTAAATTAATATTATGGATCCAGAATCTTTTTTTCTTCGAATTTTATTCTTTCTCTACCAATTACAGTCTATTACAACAGTTTTTTTTTCATAGAGATCTGAGCGATCAACGTCACTGTACCGTTTCACACTAATAGTAGGGAAAAACATTAAAAGATGTTGGCAATACAAAAAAAATTGGGTACGGCGAGTACAGCGCATACGTACAAATGTGTGAAGCCATCCGCAAAATGAGGCGCGTACGGTGCAGATAAATGTGCGTTCAGCTTAAGACAAACCGAGAATATTTGAAGAATCACATGTGAATAAAGCCGGTATCTTGTGCCCGCATAGGCTCACTTGCGCGTGATAATGTATTGCACTTGGAAGTACCAAGCACTTGGCTCCCGAGCTAGCCAAATTGCGTTCCGCAACTCTCTCACCTAGGCTCGCAGATATATTTAATGCGTTTGTGTGTCATTAATATTGTTAGTCATTTTTCTTTTTTTGTGTTCACTATTCTCGAAGCAGGTTTATAATGAATGAATAACACACGTTGAAAATCTTGTCTTTATTATTATAGGAACTATTAACAATAAAAAGATGTAACTGCTCGCCGCAATGCTCGTAAGATTATTCACTGCTACGTATAAGTAGACGATCGTTAACATCTATCCATTTCTTTCGCTTCTTCCGCTCTCGCACGTCGGTGTTATTGTATTTGTACTTTAGGTAAAAACGATATACTTACAAGATCCTGTGGCGGCCGCCGAGCCAGCCAGCCAGCGTACCGCACTTCGCCCACCAATGCTCGCAGGCGCGGCCGTGCACGAGCCATCGCAGCCCTGGCGACTCGGCGTACGGCCGCATGGAGTGCGCGATGCCAGCCCGCCGCCGAACCGGCCGTGCCAGCGCGCAAAGCCAACGCATGGACACCGTCCGGTGAGTATATTTCGATTATGCGATCCTCTGTAACAATTGCGAGTCGCAGCGTAAATTTATTACAATTATGGCGGCGCTGTCGTCACGCCACAAGCGAAACACACCGAAGCCTAAATCGCGCTGTCAAAATTCCGAATCATAAACTGTATATATAGAACAGCTCCGAACTATCACACGGAGCGTTGGCCGCTCCCCGGGCAAATCACCTTGCCGGGCGGGAGATCTCCCCTTTTCCTTCCACGGCCACACAATAAATAGTAGTAAATTTTTTTGGTACTGGTTTCAAATGTCAGTCGGCGCATACAAGTAATATGTACTACGTAATAGAACAGACACCTCACAACACGAAACACAGAGTACCTTTTTATGGCAGACACAACTGATAAAGTAAGATTGAGCCCGCGGACTCTGTTTCAATCAACCAAGTCTCGACGTCTCTTCTAGGGTATGTTCCGAAATGTTTCCAGTATACTGGCGAATGCAAATGACGTCATTAATTGACGGAATATTCCACCATTTTCCATACAGCGAATCACCAGAATGTCGTCGATTTATGACGTCATTTGCATTGGCCAGTATACTGGGTTGTATTTCGGAACATACCCCTAGTATACAGTACATAATACTTCAATGAGTCAGAAAGAAATTGTGCTAAAACACAAATTGTTTGTTTCCAGATCTAATGAGTAAACGGCCTCGTGTCTCCGAGACTGCATCTCTTAGGCCTCTGCCTCGAATCTTGCGGCCAGCGGGACGGCAGCGGCGGCGGCGCGGGAGCAGCAGGAACTTATGCGTAAAATCAAATGGACCGACTCTCGAAAACAGCGGCTTTACAGCGGCGCGGGGGCGGGCAACGAGCGGTGTACTCCAGTCAAGCGGTGACCGCCCGCGCGTCTGCATTGCAGTGCTGCGCAATTAATTTTTGTGACGTTTCGAAATGTCCTCGGACGTGCAAGAGAAAATTATTTCAGCAATTTTTGAGAGAACACCGATATGGAACAGCAAAGATGTGAACCATAAAAATAGAAGAAAAAGGGTAATTAACCAGTTATGGGAAGAAATTAAAAACGAACTGGATACAGACTCTAAATCGCCCTTGATAGCTTAAAGAATATAGTCAAAAGTTTCTACGCTCATTCTGGTGTAGTCGTAGAATTTGTCGGGACATTCTCTCTGTTCTTCGTAATTTCGATAAAACTCGCCTTTTCTTTTCCTTGCCCTATAAGTAGTAGGGATTCACTTCTTCTTTTGCCCACAGTAAATCGAGCGTTAGAAATAAATTTGAATCAAAAAGATGTTGTCGCCGTTGTTCAGACATTTCATTCGCAAATAAAAGCAAACATCTCGACAACACAACCATGAACACATCACTACGCCGCTATAGTGTCGCGCGATCTGCCCGCTAGTTTCGTGAACGGGTCTGCGTTGACCGCCCCGCTCCCGCGCCGCCGTCGCCTTCGCTCCGCTGCCCGCAAGATTCGAGGCAGAGGCCTTAGAGCAACGCGGATGATCATGATACAATTAGTCTCAACAACTATAATACACAATAGAATGGCTGTCAACCTTATTTTGTAGGAGGTTTGGCGTCGCAGGGAGCACACATACAAGCAATTACGTCGTATTATCAGTTAATCACTACTACAAACCTGATTCGCTGTTAGACGGATTTTAATACATATTTATTTGTAAATAGGGTACAATTTGGCATTTTCTAAATAATTTGCGTGCGAAATTTGGAAACGATTGTAACGTCAAAACACATCTCGTGTTGACATTTATACGTATGAATTGACGTGTTAGTGTCATGGGCTACACGGGCTCCGCCCACTCCCCCGTTCTATTATGTATGTATTATAGTATTCTACGGAAATAAAACATCAAATAATTTTTTCTTGTCAATCAATTCTCTCCTAACCTTAACAGATTTTTCAAATATGATACTAGTCGTCCGTACCGTCGAAAAAAATATTTGTCTTTGCTGTCAAAATAGGCTTTATTGCCAACTTGACTTCATCATCATCGTTACTTTTTTCTAGTCATTTTTGGAAATAAATTAACTGGTGGCCAGGTTTGCACTATAAGGTGATTGACACAGTTGATCAAAATCGCATCAGTGAATGACAGGTGTCGCAACATAGCTCGTGTGTATGAGCGCGTGTCTTGCAAAAATAGCACACACCTTTAGTTAATTTACTTTCACTTTTTCCTTGAAAGCTTCCTTCGATTCTCCTAAGGGCGCAGAGTAATCTCCCGTTATAGTAACGCCATATTCCTTATAATCAATCAATAGCGTACTCTGTAACTCTACATACCAAAGGATGGTATTGTTACCAGCTTGAGGTTCGTGACAATAAAAATTGCCGATAGAATTACCAAAATTAACACTTTAATTCACTTTACACTAATTAAGTTAAAAACACTAATAATTAATCACACTGATTCACTTTATTCCGCTCCGAAGCTTCGCTTGTCTCGCCAAATTCAATACTTCACAGATCGCATCTTGCAGCGCCTATAAATATAAATTAGCACTGAAATATCCAGAATATTCAAGTAAACACGCGCAAGGTACCGAGAGTTCGAGTTTCAACTTCAAGAAGTTTAGTTCTTCGGTTCGAGACTAGATGGCGCTAGTGCCGTCGACTTCGGCGCGTAACAGTATGAATGATTTGTCCAGCCGAATGGGACACTTCATATTTTTTGGGGCTTTATAATACCACTGCATCGACGCTTGCTTTTACTTAGGTTCATATTGTTTTTAAAACTTTCTTCAATTGTTGTACTAAGGAAGCGCAGTTATTTCTCGTTATGGTAACGCTCCATTCCTTATAATGAATCAAAAGGATAACTTCTGTACCCCAAAAGATAGTAGCCATTTTTACGTGGTAGAGCCACTCTGCAGCTATATTACAGTTGTAGCATGAATGGGTCGGCTCGACCGGGGCAGGACAACGCTCTCACAGAATACCAGCTTAAAACTAGCCAATTTCTGTATCCCTATAGATAGTTGCCATTTTTACGTGGTAAAGTCACGCTGCAGCTATATTATAGTTGTAGCATGAATGGGTTGACTCGACCGGGGCAGGACCACGCACTTACAGAATTCCAGCGTCAAATAGCAGTGTAAATTGTAATGCTGCTGAGTTCCGTGTAATGAGTGTAGAGAACCGGAGACCCTTTTCACTGGAATCGAGGCATTCCATCTCAGTCCTCAGGAGTGACAACGCATTTGCATTTTAATTCTTAATTGAGGATAAATGTGCATGTATGGGCCACAGCATCCACTTACCATCAGGTGGACTGTGTGCTCATTTGTCACCGAATGCTATTAAAAAAATGCTATTATCTGCCCAGCTGATTGCGACGCTTTATATTTTTTGGAGGATGGTGTCTTTTTATGCCACTGCATCGAATCTGACTCACATCCATAATGATGAACCAGTCTCATCACCAGTTGCAATTCGGGCTACAACATACTGTTTTTACTCTCCACAGCGCTCAAAAAGTCGTGAAAGGAAGTGATATCGGTATTCACAGAACCCAGATTGCGCTGACTTTAGCCATCCCAAGATGTCGACGTAAGATGTTTAAATGGTTTATTCTAATACTCCAACCATTACTAAAGGCTCCTTCTTCTTTAATCGGACATTAAGTTTGTATATTTTTTAATTATTTCCAGCGTGGTAACCTCTATGAGCCGTCCGGTTCGAGGGACGTCTTCAGTCGAGTCCCTCCCCTAATTGAAAAAGCCATTTATATACCATTGTTTTACCACGTGCGAATTAGCTAAATACCATAATTAGCTAAAATCTCTTATTACGCACCTATTTTCTCACTCAACTTTCTTCCTACTGGCCGGTTGTTTACGAATTGTTTCATCATCATCGTCATTGCAGCCCTTTACAAGTCCACTGCTGAACATAGGCCTGCATGACTTACGAATTGTTTGCTCGCTGATAAATCAAAATTGAATGATCCTATTAGGTTTAAAATTGATAAAAATACTTATTTACATAAACAAATCACGCAATTACTAACCACCTGGCTGAGCATCCTCATCCGCACCTCCCATCGTAAAAAGCAACTAATTAACTGCCTATCTAATTTTAGAAAGGCTAAAAATATAGCTTACATACATTCTCTGCAATACGAAGTGAAACATTGCAGCAAATAGCTCGTTAGTTGTAACGATATTTTTATTTATTTATTTATGTACACACATCAAGATACAGAAGCAGTCTTATAGTAAGTTCGTACAAAGGTTCTACTTATTCCATAATTAGCTGAAATATCTTGCAGTAGACCCATAAAGGAAATTATATTTAAATGGCAAACTTGGCAAATACATTACTACTACTAATAAATAAATAGTATACAAAATGTTACGTAATTTATATAAAATAAAACAATAAAAATAAAATAAATCAATACATAAAAATAATAAATACGATAGTTATATATGATATGATATATATAAACTAATACTAATATAATAGAATAGAATCTGTTATATCACAGATGTTTATGTAAAACAAACATTTTAGAACGATTACTGTCCACAGGTAACTGACTCTTCCAAAAGAGTTAATTTATCGAAACTGTTGTAGCAAACAACCGCAGATCGCGTTTCATTAACATTCCGCGGTTTGAGAAACTGTAACCAATATGAGCATTTTGTAATCAATAAGATCACCTGTCTAGAGACACAAATATCATATTAGTGTGTCCCAATTAAACAAGGTATTAGTTGTCGAGCATTACGTTACGCGGAATCGAATAAATTATTTTCCCGAACTACTTTTTAAAATAATATTTATAATCGATATCTTAAGTATTGTTAGTATCACTATATCAATATAAAAATATATAAACACTAATATAAGCGATAGTTAATTATTTTTAATTTTGTATGAGTTACAAATAGTTGTTAAGATTCTGGGTGTCCGTACCTCTGCAAATATATATATATATATATATATATATATATATATATAATATATATATATATATATACACACTACACAAAGGCTGCATTTATTTATCAAAAAATAAGATATAATTTTGAAGCAAGTTTCGCAAACCTTGTACCATGTCATTAAAGGTTATTAATAATAAAGAATTATGAATTATAATCACCTGGATCATGATGCCGTAGATTCTTGGCGACGCATGCCATTAGAAGGGGTACGTAGCGAGTGTCAGCTCGTCGTCGTCTAGGTGACGGCGGCGAAGGTGGCGCATCTGCCATGTAGCCACGCTGCAACTCCCACCCAACTTCGCTGATGATTGAGGCCTTACGGAAGTATGGGGTAACTTCGCGCAAATACTTCACTAAAAAACAAAACGCAACAGAATTGATGATATCGTACACAATATAACCAATAAACGTACCTTGTAGATAAAGAGCCAAAATAATAGATTACGAAAACAATCAATGTTTGATCGTCAGTACAGGCATTACCGAAATTAATAAAAAATTGCGATCCCCTCGGCTACGCCTGAGTATGCTAGGATGTTTAGATTTAAAATAATTAAAGACCACCCGTTTTAGCTAGTTTTTATTTATTTTTAATTCAAGTTTTTAGTAATGATTTCTTATATTTAATATTTACGCGAACACTACACATTTAAATAATATTAGTTTTTACGGATTTTATGGCGTATATTAACTTTTTTATATACCCGACGTTTTGAGCACTTTAAAGCACCCATGATCAGTGCCCCCCCCCCCCCCCCGTTAGATGTTCAATGTCCAGATGTCATAGTTAACCACGGTTAACTATGACATCTGGACGTTGAATCTAAGTCCCATCTAAGTCCCCCCTCACTGTCACGTGATCATGGGTGCTGTAAAGTGCTCGAAACGTCGGGTATATAAAAAGTTAATATACGCGATAAAATCCGTAAAAAACGGTTTTTAGGATACAACCTAAATTATTTCCAATTCCGTGTGTTTCATTTAGCAGATTATGGTGCAGATGGCAGTTTTTACATACACGGGACGGAGCTAATAGAAGCAAAAAGAGCGAAAGAAACGAAGATTTGAAAAATTTTAAAAATTTTATGAAATTATGACTATAGAAAAAAAGAATTATGTGAAAATCAATAATTTAGCGGTGAAAATTTACTAAGAAAACTATATACGAATACGGGGGCAGTTAATCATACCTATTTAAATAGAAAATTTAAACGGAAAAGGCCAATTTTCAGCCGGGTTATAGATAAATTTACGTTTTTATTAATGTATTTACTGCCTAGATCCCTCCTGGCATTGCTCTCTATCTGTTCACAAAGTTTTGTCATAATCGATTCAGTCATTTCGAAGACTAGCCTGAATAGACAGACAGATAAAAAAATAAAAAAACGCTACTCGTGCCTTAATAGCATGCAAATAACACCTTGAGCTTAATAGAAACTGGCTAATTCAATAAAACTGACACTGCAATTTTATTTATATGAATAGATATAATACAGTAGCATAGTAATCTAGTAAGGTTGAGTAGGAATACAAAAACATAACATATATACATAAACACTCACGCCTGTCACCCAGAGGGGTAGGCAGAGACTACAGACTTTCATTTAGCACGATCCTGACATACCTTTCTCGCCTCTTCCACATCCATATACCTACGCATACATGCTCGTCGGTTAAGGGTACTCTTAATTTGGCCCATTTTTAGTATATCGCCAATTTGGTCGACAAACTTCCGCCTAGGACGTCCCTTTCCGACTCTTCCATTCACTTCTGCAATATATATTTGCTTTGTCAGTCTTTCCGCATTCATTCTTTCTACATGACCAAACCACCGAAGCATTTCTTTCTTAAGCTTTGGTCACCGCATCATCTTGCAAACCACACTCTTCTTTTATCACACAGTTTCTCACCTTGTCACTCAGATTCAGCCCTAACATACTCCTTAGCGACCGCATTTCTACTGCATTTATTCTACTCTCGTGCTTCTTCTGCCACACCGAACTTTCACTACCATATGTTAAAGTAGGGACTAATACAGCATTGTGAATTGCCATACGTGCCTATTTTGACACATTCTGACTTTTCACAATAGAGTATAGAGCCCCATTTACTTTATTTCCTGCATTCACTCGTCGTTCAATACCCTTATCATATCTCCCATCCCTGCTGAATAGGAATTTTACCTTTCGTATTATTTTTACGATACTTGCGAAAATAAGATAGTTGGGGAGACAATTATCGGCTCGATTCTAAGTTTGCCCCTACACGAGCCACCGACCACAACCACAATACGCCACCACCGGCGTATTATCCGTAGTTTTCGTACATTTTTTACAGGATAAGGGTGACAAACGAGCGCACAGTTCACCTGATAGTAAGTGTTTGCTTTCGCCCATTGACATCTACATATATCCTCGATTGCAAAATGCAAATGCGTTTTCACCCCTGAGGACTAAAATAGAATTCCTCGTTTCCAGTAAAAAGGATCTCCGCTTCTGTACACTCACCATACGAAACACAGCAGCATTAAGCTACTATTTCACGCTATTATTCTGTGAGTGTGTGGTCCTTCCCCGGTCGAGCCGACCCATTCGTGCTACAACTATTCTATTAATATAACTGCAGCGTGGCTCTACCACGTATAAAATCTCCGGTTCTATACACTCACCATACGAAACACAGCAGCGTTAAGCTGTTATTTAACGCTGGTATTCAAATTTTATAATATGTATTTAATTTTATATGGACGAGCTGCACACGGTTTACACTCACTAGTGGCCGTTAGAATGCATTATGATACTGCATACTTTTTTAATAGTAGTAGTGGTAGTGGCCACCGACCGCAAGTGTCTACCACCGACCACAAGTGGCTGTTGCGCAGTTTGCGCACTTCAGCTGACTTTGTAGCCGCTTCTAGCTCCATGTGGCGGCGTTTGTAGTTGTCGCGTGTGGCCCGTGTACGGCCGTACTAAGCGGCGGAAGCCTGTTCTGGCCGCTGGAATGCCGCATCTAACACCCACCATACGACCTAATCAAGATAGTATGTTTGCGCACCTCCTCAGCATTATATGTAGTTGTAAATGTGACCAAAATTTATTAAGAAACTATAATCAACGTCATTTCCAGCTGATGTAAATGTAAACAAAGTAGTTTTTACACTAACAATGCTGTCATAGAATAAGATTTTCCAGTAAATATGCTGGCAGTAAATATCTTTAAGGCAGAAAAGAAATGATCACTGTAAATGAGATGAGGGAAATGTCGAGAAACTTCATAATGATCTCTTATATTTACACGAACACTACACATTGATTAAAACTACTTTTACGGATTTTATCGCGTTTAATTTTAATGATTTTTTTTTTAACATTATGAAAGTAGTTTGTTTTTTGTCTCATATTTATGTTCATATTGTAAGTTCATAGAAGAAAATTATTTCTTAAATTTACGTGAATACACACATGTAATAAAACTAGTTTTATAGATTTTATCGCATGTAATTTTAACTTTTTAACTCCAGACATTTCAGATTCTTTACAGCACCTACATGGATGGAAGACAGGTGTTTACCGTCCTATGTAATAGTAATAGAGGCTACCATCACCTTTTAAATGGTAATGAAGGCTATTTCGCCTTTTAAATATTAAGTTTAGGTCCGCATGAAGTACACCGTGATAAAACTAACACGAAAAAAAAAATTCTCCTAGATTCATTACGATTTTGGTTGTGAACTTAGTCTACGATAAAATTATGATCTTTAAAAGAATCCCGCTACACTATTTACTACTGATACAATGAATTTAGGCAGGTTTGTATCAATCTTACTGTTAATCTGCATTAAAGACGCCCTTCAACCGCAACTACTGAATATAGCTGAATATCTGTAATGTGTGACGTACGATAGTAGAAGCAAATTTGGAAAAGCGTAGGTATTAATGAGTCAAATAGAAACATCTTACACATTTAGGCATCAAGGAAGTTTTAAACATTCTTACCATTACAGCCTATTATAGTTCACTTCTGAACATGGCCTCCCATAGATTGCCTCATAAGGGGGACATTTGCCACAGTTACCACGCGACGCAAGCAGGTTAACATCAGTTTTTTTTTTTACTTGTTACTATAATTTTAAGCTTTGTACATCAATACTTTATAATTGTAAAAATTATAAAAGTATAACAGAAACGGATACAAAGATAAATAAAACCTGACTATGGTTACAAATCAGAAATTCTAGTTGGGGATTTACTAAAAACAAAAAAAGATAAACCAAGGCTGCCTTACTCTTTGGAAGGAAAGCTGGAAAAATAAAGGACAATGTTGTCTTCAAAAATTTTTGACAGCAGCACCCCTCAGATCAGGCAGAGCTCTCCTTCACCATTAAAACACTTCAGTTCACTCCAACAAACAGTCAAATATTTCACTAAAAGTGTAACTAATAGGTCTACAAAAATATAAGCTAGGAGCTAGTTGTTTTTTTCTCTTTTTTTTTTTTTTATTATAATAAATAAAAATTAATAAAAAATATATTAAAAAAATAATAATAATAATAATTTTTTAATTTTTTAAGGGGGGGGCGCCCGTGGGGGGGGGGTTTTGGGTGTGGTTTTGTTTCGCTATTCTATTTTGTGTGTTCGTTTGCTGGCTTTATGAACCCTAAAGATACAGTGACTAATGCTCGTGGGAGAGACCTGTAAGGTCAGTGAACCAACTGTATATCTCTGTGGTAGTGAATTCAACAAGACATTGACAGGAATGATTGAGTTTATATGAAAGAGTGCAGTAAGCTAAAATTTATATGTAATATGTGCTACAATTTTTTTTATAGAACAAGGGTGATAAATGGCACACAGTCCACATGATGGTAAGTGGATGTTGTGGCACATAGACATCTACGACTATCCTAGATAAAGAATCAAAATGCAGATGCATTGTCACCCCTGAGGACTAAGATGGAATGCCTCTTTCCCAGTAACCAGGGTCTTTCGGTTCTCTACATTCATCATACGAAACATAGCTAAATTGAACTGCTATTGTACACTGGTATTCTGTGAGAGTGTGGTCTTTCCCCAGTAGGGCCAATCTGAGCCAGCTCCACCACATGCAAACAAATACAATAAATTAAATTAAAAAAATATTATTTACAATTATACTGTCAATTTCAAATACCACTTGTTGACATTCATAAAGAGTATTTAATGATTAGATGGTTCATATATATTTAGCGTAAATACCACTAATATAATCTGAGTAAGTACTATATATTAGTACTCTGAGACCAATGTCAAGCACCTAATAGCCAAGTAGTTTGTAGTTTTAGTGTCGTCAAGCCTGGGATAAATTAGTATAATAATCCCACAGACTTACTGAACATATTACTGATAGATTGACTAAATGAGGTGTGAATTTTGTGTGTATTCAAAAATTCCTTTTTCAATAGAGTGTGCAGTGTATGATATGCCAAAAAAAGCATTTATTTTATATTTTGTTTATGAGATATCAGTGTTTTATATATTAATGTGCAGTTGAAAGTAAAATACTGCTTGTATAATATACAAAGCTAAAAATTGATAGACTCATGTTCAAATTTCAACCACTAGGCGACCACTAGTCTTCCTAATAACAATAAGAAAATAAAAAATTGCAGTTGCCAACCTATCTGCCAAGTGTGGCAACTATAGCAAATGTCACCCTTATGAGGCAATATAGGTGTATAGACCTGTGTTCAGCAGTAGGTTTTTGTAAGCTGTAATGAAAGAATGAAATAAAAAATAAACTAACCTACTATACTTCTTTAACTTTTTGTAACCACAAATGTCAATGAATGAAATTTATTCCCCCCTATACATATAGTCTATCATTGAACTTTACAAATATCATGCACTCAACTTTTTTTTGAAGTGATAACTTCTTTAAATTAGTTGTGAGTTGAAAATCAATGAAATGAAAAAGCGACACTAAAAGGAGGCATACATATACATTTTTTTAGTATTTTTGTTTTTAAAAACGTTACCTCCACACTAGAATTTTCTCCTGTATCATGGGAGCAGTTTACAAACATAAATTTCGCAAGGACAAACATCCAGACCCGGAACAATTACTTGTAGGCCATACAAATACCTGTTCCATGTGGGATTCAATTCTGCGGCACTTAGCACTGAAAATTATTGCTAAGCTACTGCACCACTGAGCCGTCACATGTACATGTAAAGGATTTAGCTTGCAATAGAATAAGATAGAATATTTTATCAAATTACTCATGTTTAAGTCACCTAGCATCAATTTTACTTAATAATTTGCCAAGTCAATTAATTTTTGTTTGATAGAATGACTTCCTTGCATAGTATAAAACAAAGTTGCTTCCCGCCATCTGTGTACTTAGATCTTTAAAACTATGCAACGGATTTTGATGCGGTTTTCGTCAATAGACAGTATGATTCAAGACGAAGGTTTATAATGTGTATAACACATGCATATGTTGTTGAGATCCAAAAATCACCCATGTGAAGCTGAGGCGGATCGCTAGGTACCTATATAATGAAGATGGTGCTACTGCATAGGAATTTCACTCTGTTATGTAAATTTAAACTGTTATCTTATATTTTATGCCACATTCGCAGTTGAATAATATTATATTAAGTAAATCACTTGCTTTGAAATTTATATTTTGTATATTTTATATTTAATTCGATTTGAAGTTTTCACTTCTGCCACATGTGAGCTGCACACATGTTTTTTTTAACAGAATATGAGTGACAAAGAAGCACAAAGTTCACCTGATGGTAAGTATCCACTTACCATGTGTATGCTGTGGCCCATACATCTACAAATATCCTCAATTAAGATGAGATGAGGATATACGCAGTATAACTAGAGTGACCGACATAGCCCAACGGATTAATAAGCTGAAGAGGCAATGGGCCGGCCATATAGCTCGAAGAACCGATAACCGATGGGGAAGAAAGATTCTCAAGTGGCAGCCTTGTACCGATAGGCATAGTGTAGGGCAACCCCCACTAGATGGATAGTGACGACCTGGTAAGACATGCAGGAAGTTGATGGATGCAGGTGGCTCACAACCATGCTTTGTGGCATTACTTGGGGGAGACCTATGTTCAGCAGTGGACTTGTGAATGGCTGTAATGATGACTACAATGGAATGCCTCGTATCCAGTAAAATGGGTTTCTACATTCACCATATGAAACACAGCAGCATTGAGCTGCTATTTCACACACTGATATTTTGAGTGTGGTCCTATCCCGGGTCAAGCCAACCCATTCATGCTAGAACCATAATATAGCTGCAGCTTGGCTCTACTATGTATAAAAAGAAACATAACATATAACATATTATATTATGATAGTTTAATGCCATAAAAGAACATTATAAAGTCTGGAACCAATTGCTAGCACTTTGGTAGAGTTATTCATAAATTTCACACAAAAAGTCTTAAATAATTTTAAAGTGAAACTCATTACCACTTACTTAAAAGCCAGGCCAACTAGTTAACACATATACATATCCTATATCAGAATAGGAATAGATATAGGTGTTCATAGACTTCATTGCTTAAATTGATATGACCTCATAATTAGGTTCAAAGTAATTAGTGTTGCTGTGTGAGTAGCCAAAGTAGAAATAATTATTTATCATATTTACCACTGGTCTATTAATATAGTAGTAGTTGATAATGACTCGGGAACAGCATCACCTATTGGATCCTAGCATAAGAACAATTGCCTCAAGAAATCTTTTTATGTAAATATGACCTCCATCAGTCAAGTCATTTATAGTTTTCATGATCACTAAGACATGTGTTAGTGATTGTGTATAATAAGATAGTGCTCAAACATATTTTGATAAACTATTTATCTACTTACCTTCTAACTGAACCATTTTCCCTGCCCTTTTTAATGCTTTTACTGCTTCCTCATGTGTTGCATCTTTTAAATCCTCACCATTGACAGAAAGAATTGCATCACCAACATACAATTGCTCTGTGAGATCAGCAGCCATACCTTTAAATATTTTTGATATCAATATGGGCATATTGTTTTCTATTCCTCCTTTTATAGATATACCTAAACCATTATTGTCTGATTTTACGACTTGCACTAGGCGTTTCTGATTAGCAATAGCTTCAGGCACTTCTGTAAAGTCGCTGTTTGGTGTTTCAACATTATTGTTATTCAATGTGCCATTAAGAGTGGTGGTTGCGTCGTAGCCGTCATCCAAAGATACGCTTAAATAATCATCTTCCAAGGAACAATGTACACGATACCATACACCTCGTACTAACGTCTCTAACAATCCTGAACGAGCACAAGTCGCATTTGGACTCTCACTTCCACCGCTGGAACCACCGTTCTCCACCATAATTGCGATTTAATACTATTAATTGACTTAATTAATGTATATCAAATTATATTCCCACTTTGTAAATACGTTGATAAAAAAATTAAACATCAAGGAACGTATATTCATTTAAATTCAACACATACTAGTTTTTATTCCTCCAAGGTTTCGATAAGTGTGACAATTTAATAATGTTAGCAAATAAACACAGATTCATTGCACAATCGATAATATTACGACATAAATTTGACGTACCGCCCAGTAATATTCATGTGAGCTAGGCACGTAAAAAAATATCGATGTATCGATATTTTGTTCGATATAATATAACAAGTATTAAAAATGCATCAAATACCATCACAGTATTGTTGAATATTAGAATTTATTGTACACATTTTTTTACTCATCTATAATGTTATTATACACAGTAAAATCAAAATGTTTATTTAACTCTTTTGTATTATCTTTCTGGCAACACTGTTATAATCATTATAATGACTGCACTGTGGGATAACAGTCAAGTTACGCTCACTTTTGGTGAATGTATCCAAAGAGATGATAAAGAAAAATGGAAACAAGCAATATTTAATTAACCCATTCATTGCCACTTAAATTTTATAAACATCACCTGGGTGCCAGTTAATATTTTTGTGGATTACAGAAGAAAAGGCGTAATTAAATGTGTTCTTTAAATACAAAAATCCCATAAATTACAAAAACCCATCTAAAAATGGTAAACGCACCATACATGGTGGTGGCACTGGTAAGAGAAATTTAATCACTAGTGCCATTCAACATGCCGTTTGCGTTGACGTTTGGATAGTATTATGTAACATGTTCTGAGAGACTGATGCTGGATATGTCAATATGCTGCTTTATTTATATAATCTATGTTTGTTTATAAATAGGTGTAAGTCCTTGTTTTACACACATAATATTATTTTGTTCTGTCCTAAGTTTTTGTATCTTACGTATTTATAACTACTTAGTAACTTGAAGCATGCGGTGTATACCTATTGTTGGTGTACTTAATTAAATAAATAATTTAGTATCAGAATTATTTAACATCTTTGCTCCTTATCTGATTAATGTATACCTATCCACTTTGTATATTGTTACATTTACGGCACCCAATAAAAACCTCTCTGGATGACCTTTGAGTGGGTTGATTATTTTAATATACATAGGTTCGTAAACAATAAAAGTGAGAGAAACCCGTGAAGATAATCATTTATTCTTAAAAATAAAAAAAATTACAATTAATAGTTGTGGTACCCTTTGTAACAATTATATTTTAATAATTAAAATCTATCATATAAATCTTCACATAAATAATAATTATCTTTAAACAACTAGTTTATATTTTTCACGTACCTACTTTTTAAACATAAAATAAAAAAATATACCTATGGATTTTCTCTAGTTTTCTACCTATGACCTATGGCCTTGGATACTATAAATGCTACTGCGGAAGTAATACAAATAAGTTTCTCTCTGTGGATTCATAATTTAAACCTTATAAAATACGTAAAATGTGACGGCCAGTTTATAAAATATTTAGTAATTAAATACATTACGAATAGTAAATTTAACTTTATGAGTGTAAAAAATATAAAAAAATACGAGACACGCATAAATTATGTGATTTGTTCCTTGTGGATCATGAATAAAACTATCCAATAAAGTTTTTTACTGCTATGCCAACGAACGAACCGTATGCGTGCATGTGACTTTATTTTTCAAAAACACGATGAAACAAGGGAAAAGAAAGAAAAAAATTAAGAATAATGATTACTTTTATCTAATAATTTACTAATATATAATGAACACTCGTTAAAACTCAAGTTATTTTAAATTCAAAATGTACGTTATTAGTACCAATCTTTTTTTCATTGTCAAAACAAGAATGACAATACGAAGCAAAAACCATCGGTGTTTCCACATTTAAAAATTATTTCTAATAGTTAATGTTGCCATAGATTAAAATAAATTTCTACCGTTTTTATTTAATGCAAAAAAAACCTCAAGAAGTCACTCAACATTTACGGTGCGTTGGTGGCATGACGTAGTAATCTCGATCAACGCAAATGGTGCGTTGGTGGTACCTTGCTACATATTTATTTATCTATGGTTGGTGGCAATGAATGGGTTAAAAGGAATCTTTAAAAAAGAATAATACTTGGAAAATAGTTGATGAAAAAGAGACATTAGGCAAAGAAATTTTGTCTAGCAGATGGGTGTGCAAAATAAAAGAAGATGTCACCTACAAAGCCAGACTGGTTGTGAAGGGATGTCAACAGAAAAAAGGAATTTGGATTTTGAAGACACCTTTAGTCCAGTTATTGATATTGCTTCATTAAGAGTTCTGTTTACTATAGCAGCGAAAGAAAATCTTCATATAAAAACCTTCGGCGTTAAAACTGCTTTTCTTTATGGAGAAATAGAAAGTGAAATTTATATGAGAATTCCAGAAGGTTATGAAGAAGAGGGATAATATGTAGGCTAAACAAAACTCTATACGGACTTCCAGGCCAGACTACAGGCCCCTTTATGGTGGAATAAAAAATCACAACATTTTAAAACAAGAGGGTCTAATTCAACTAAAAACAGATCAGTGTATATTTACAGACTCAAATTATGAAATCTATTTGGGAATTCATGTGGACGATGAAATCATGATGGGTAAAGACACAGAAAAATTAAATTAAGTTTATTAAGGAAACTAAAAGAAAATTTTGGAGTCACAAATTGTGAATAGCATCATGCTATAAGCAGCAATGCTACCAAGCCTAGGCTGACGCATCAAAGTCCCGGGATAGAAATACCAGCGCTCTAAAAAAGAAGTATAATTCCGCCTCCAGGTTCTTCAAAAGAGTCATTGCCAAGGCAAAGTCAGAGCACATAGGCAGAATTAATAATAATAATAATAATAAGTTCTTTATTTCCAAGAGGTTGTACATCACGATATTTGCATAACATTATTTAATAAAGCTACATTAGTACATATACTTGAAAACATAGCATCTGCAGCCGAACTAGGAGACCTGTGCATCAGCTGTCAGCGCCATATCCCCACCGTTAATTTATAGAAATATTAGGATGCAAGCAAAAGTTAAATAATCAAATACTATCTAAAAATTTGTACATTCCGCTAATATAACCTAAGTACAATGAAATTAATTGTATCACATATTATGTTTATATACTATGTTACCACTTATTACTAATACCAAGGTACAAACAAAATAATAATTTATACTACTAATGACGTTCCTCTCTCATAGTATGTGTAATGTATGACTGTAAGAAGTTATTGTGTTATGAGTGTAATGTGTGTGAGCAGTTATGGGAGAGGAGCGTGTAAAATGTATGTCGTGTGTGTGTGTGTGTGTGTGTGTGTGTGTGTGTGTGTGCGTGTGTGTTTGCACACGTGCTTGTGTATGTGTCTGGTTATTATGATTTTATACGGGTAGTATTACAGGTGACAGTTATATAAGAATTTATTTTTAAGTCTGAATACTAAGCAGGTTTTCAGTTTCATTATAAGTTAATTTTTGTAGGTAACTATGTACAGTTTTTTTACAATTTATTTTATTAAGGTGGTAAATGTCCAATGTTTTATTTAGTTTATTATATAAGTATGGTCCCAACAATGCAAAGAATTTTCTTATAAAAGTTGTTTTAAAATTAGTTGTATCTACGGAAAATTTCCTGCGTTTATTTAAGTTCGATCGGTTGTATACTAATAAGTTATGTTGTTTCTGAATGATCGTTAGTATAAACAGTTGTCTTACTGTAAGGACCTGACAGTTATTATAAAGCTGTGATGTAGGATAAAGAAAAGGTTTAAATGTTGCAACTTTGAGTATAGCACGTTGAGAGATTTCTATCTTTTGTAACACCGTTTTAGAGGCACCACCCCATGTTGATATGCAGTATGTTATAATAGACTGACATAAAGCTAAGTAAACTCGTTTTAATATATCTGGATCCAAAACGTGTCTAATAGTTTTAAAAATATGTATTAATTTACGAATTCTTTTGCTAAGAGTGTTAATATGTTGTTTAAAATTTAAATTACTATCTATTATAACCCCTAGATATTTAATATATTCAACAGACTCAAGTGAAAGGCAGGAACAGCTGTTATCCCTTGTTAAACAATCATATGAATGAATCACTAAGTTAAAATTATCAAGGTTGCGAATAGGTTTTCTTAATGAATAAACTATATATTTTGTTTTCGTAATATTGATTGAAAGTTTATTACTGTAAAGCCAATTAGTAACTGCATTTATACCTAATTGTGCAGACGAGAATACATCTTTCCACGTATCCGCAGCAAATATCAAAACAGTGTCATCTGCATATGAAATTATATGTCCCTGAGAGAGATTAAATTTTGTAAAATTATCAATATAAATAAGAAATAAGGTTGGGCCGAGTATACTTCCTTGTGGTACGCCGTGTGTTACTAGTAAATCATTGCTGGTAATATTATTTACACTAACGCATTGATATCTCTCAGAAAGATAACTTTTGAATAGTTTGAGTTGAGTGCCTCTGATACCGACATTTTCCAGTCTTTTTAATAGTATTTTTATTGACACGGTATCGAATGCTTTCGCCAAATCTAAGAAAACAGAAATACACTTTTTTCCACTGTCTAAATACGATGACAAAAAATTTGTAAGAGTATGAACGGCATGCTCCGTTGATTTGCCATGTCTAAAACCAAACTGCGTATTTGACAATAAATTATTTTTCTCCAGATATTTTGTAAGTCTATTATTTATAATTTTCTCTAAAATTTTGGATAAAGCAGGTAATATAGATATGGGTCTATAATTACTTAAACAGGTTTTTTCACCATCTTTAAAAATAGGTCGAATTACGGACTTCTTAAGATATCTAGGGAATACACCATCATTTAAACATTGATTAAATATACAAGTTAAAGGAGGTATTAACAAATATTTAAAATTTTTAATAAATTTATTCGAAATTCCATCCCAACCAAC